ATGTGCTTTCCCATTCAACATCAAAGTCGGAATCAGGTTCCACACCTTGTAACAGCCGCAACAACTCATCCGAATCATATTCGGTCATTTTGCACTGCACTGGGAAAGAAAAATGTGCGTGCACGCGTCGCCCGGAACTATGACACAATGACCTTGACGCCTAAGCGCTTACGACGTCACAGGTTTACTTCTATTGAAGTTGACGGCGCTAGTGTCACTCGACATCTTGCCATTACGTAGAGATGGGTCTAGCAATATCGAAAACCCTCAGTACATAATAATTAATTTTAATGAAATGATTTGATAGGTAGATGTACATTAATTTTGAAACGCATTGTAATACGTTATTTACTGACCGGAATTTCTTTTTATTCATAGAATTCAAAAAACTATTGGATGGAAAAGAAAACAAATATTATAGTAAATAAAGATTCTAATGAATGCTCCTTACGCGTCACATCACTGGCCTACTTGATATGAAGTCGTTGGCGTGCGGGATATAAAATTATTTGAAACCTTTTATGTTTTACCTTTTTAAAACAGAAAATAGTCTGTTTTGCATGAGAAAAAATAGTTCGTCGTGTCCATATTACAAAATTACAAAGAAACAAATGTTTTATGTATCGTAAATGTATTTTTTATAGTAGGTAGATACAATGAACTTCTATAGAAGTAGTGGCGTGGACGGCACGAAAATCCTGAACTTCTATAGAAGTTGTTGGCGGCGAAAAGGTTAAAAGTGTCAACTAGCTACATCGTCTAACAACGAAACTCTATTTAAGGGTACGGTTAGGAATAAGAGGCTAAAATTCCATTTACTGTGAGATTCAAAAGATACAAAGTGACTTTTATGTAGGAACAAATACTAGAAATCTGCAAATAAATGTACAATGATGTTTTGTAGTTGTTGAAACGGACCGTAACTATGACTAATCGCCGTACTGATACACTTGTACACAGATTTATTGTTAACCTCATACATATGTATAACCTTACAATTTATCGATAACAAAATACTTGATGGTGAAATTCGACATACATTTTCCATGATAAACTATGAATTTTTGTTTAAACTAGGTCGAAAAATGCATAGATACGGCCATTCGGGTGTTTTACCTAATCCGTAAGTAGTTAAACAACGTTTAGACTAAGCAAGCTGATTAGATATGAAAAGAATGTTTTAGTGGTGAAACAGCCATGAAACCCGCACACTATAAGACCCACTTTCCAGTCACATAATAAATTATGAGAATAGATGTAAAGGTATACATGATATTCAGTCTAAGTGGAAATAACGTTTCTGTGGACTTTAATATTCTGCAATAACAACACGACACAAGATTACCCTCTAAAAATGGTTAACGCTTTTCTAAGGAGCCTCGTCTTTTTTAGGCTGTAGTGCACGTACTAATTCTGTGTACCTTTGTTTCTATAGGATTGGGAGTCGACAGATATTGTCTGATTTCTTGTGTTTATCTTTCATCGCAACCCACACTCTTTGTTGTTTATTAGCAGCCTGGCCACGTGTCGCCAAACCTGTTAGTGTCACTAACATTAAGAGAACAGCACATGTCTACATTATATACATATATAAATATTAATTGGGTACTTAATTATGTATATGTATGCAGGACCTAGATTTATTCAATATAGATTTGCTGTTTTCCTTTAAAGTTTATGTTTGCTTATCCTCGGACTAAAGTTAGAAAAGTATGGTTTTCCCTTTAAACTGTCAGACACCGCGAGGACACCGGTGACCGCAACCCATTGTTCTTTAATTGTGTCTATAATGACGGTACTCGACGAGTTAATAAGGACTTTCATGATTTACTGAGATTATATTTGTTGAGATTAAGTATTTTAATATCTAAGAATTATTCAATTGTAGCCTGTAAACGCCAAGCTATCCTAATGTTGAGTCGGCACGTGTTCCTCCGCTCGCGCCCTCATCTTAGTGAGTAGGAAGCCATTGCAGTATTCCGAGGGAAATCATGGCCGCTAAATGTTTTCCCCGCGACCGTTCAACGTTACACCAATGACACAGCTGATGAAAGTAGGCGTATCCTTTTGAAGGAACCAACTAAATCCGTAAAAAAACGCAATATTCTGATCTTAGTGATTAAAATATATTAATGTTAGACTATCTATAAAAATTAAAATGTATATCCGTTCGTTTATTCGTTAGTCTCGCTGAAACTAGAGAACAACTGAACTTATTTGGCTAATTTTGATCTTGTAAACTAATTTGAAATGTTCGTGGAACTCCAGGGAAGTTTTAAAAGGTGACAAAAAAATTGTGGCAGGTCAGTCAATTGAATATTAAATCAGTAAAACTATTTTGATATATAATTCGTTCGATCACATTAAGTAGCTAGATATAAAAATAAGTCAAAAAGGCAAGAAGGTATCTACCGTCTATGTCAGTACCTACTGATAGATCTAAAATGCTATGCATATCGGATATAAACTCCACATTATAACTCAACGATAAAAAATTCCTAAATTAATAAAACGAAACTTACTTCGCATTCCATAGTATGAAAATCTTTCGCAGAACTCATTTGTGACTATAAATCCCACAGCCTTTGGATACGGTAGTTTCTGAAACAGATAAAAACGAAACAGTCAATATCTATATATAATGTAGGTTGATATTAACGCTAGAAGTTTAAATAGGTTAAAGATCAAATACCTTCACAATAAAAGTAATAATAGGTTCTTAATGGCACTTGTAAAACAGGTTCAGATTGCAATTTTAATAAAAAATACATAATAATACTTAATATTCAAATCCATCAAAATGGGACGACTTGTATCAACAAATTTTATTACCAAGTAGTGACACATCACAATCATAATAGAGGTACAATATGGCTGTAAATCGATCCTGTTCTCGTTTCAAACACATACACTGTCTTCACATCTCTATGAGAAATTACGCTTTGGAACGACAGCATTCGTAACTTCAAAGGAACTGACTGGCATATCTATTTTGTCTATTCTGTGCGAACCTGCGAACCATGTGCTTTAGGCATGGGCATAGCCAGCCTTGGGCTCAGGGTGGGGCAAGTTTGAAATTTCCGTTTTGTACGAAAATTACACTGATATGATTGTTATATTTATAATATCTATGGAAAATTAAAAGTCTTAGCCAAACAAAAATTATTTTAATTTCAAATGACTACTGCAGAACGGCAATTTTATAGGTAAAGATCAAATATGTCATCGGTGAAACAAGTGAAACAATTCTCAATACACGCGGTTTTTCATTGATTTTTTTTTCATATGAGCAAGCAATGTATACGTATTCGGCAAAACGTAAACATAGTTGAGACTATCTTTACCATGCGAATACGATCAAAAAGCCCTGGACGAGATAATAGGTTCGTAGAAGCTGTCCAAGCAGTCGGGTCGAATTTTTCAGACGTCGACGTAGAAACTTCCCGATCACACACAACTTAGAAAGCGGCTTCGGATTTTTATATCGGTATTGAGCCGCCTAAAAGCAGAGAGATATAAAAAATTCTGCGAAATGACATCTACAATAACTTTATACAAATAGTTTTAAAGAGATGGTACCAAGACTCCAAAGTGTTCGCAAAGCCGAAGTCTTTGGGTAGCTAAGCTAGAGGCAGAGCCACGGAGTATGGCAGGGCATACGCGTCACTACTGAGCTTTAGTGAGCTGTCAGCTTAGTAGCAGATCCAAGAACTGAAGCTGCACCGAGTATATCGCGGACAATTAAAACAGTTTTTAAAAACCTTAACCATAACATGGTGACGATAGAATCGCTCACAGGACTCTATTCAACTTTGTCTTACTCGAAGGAGTAACGTCGTAGGCAAGGAACAGAAGATTTAAGTGCGTGCTCATCTTCGAGAAAGGTGACAACACCTTATTAAAGAATTTCAGACTTATCTCTAAACCATGTCTACAAGTTTTTATCTCGCCCGTAGGTCTTCTTAAACAAGCTAGTTTACAAAAAGGCTACAGCTGCCAAAGACCACATCTAGACGCTGCAGCAAGTATTAAGTATTAAGTAAGCAAGGACTATAATTTGACCCAATGCTTAACGTTTGTCGCGGAGAACCTAACGGGTAAGCGCGGCTCCGGTTCAATGTGCAGGAAAAGGAACGGGGTGGTTTTTAGTCAGTAAGAGTCTGACACTCCCTCCCGCCTCACCCAGGCGAGCAGACATTCGATGACTTTCCTCCCTTAAAAAAATGCTTAACGTTTATATTATTAGCGCTTATAAGACGGCTATATTGAAGTTAAAATTGACTGATACGGTGATGAAGCCAAAACATATTATGGTTGGGGCAACTTACCCGCTTATCATTTTGGTCGCATTTTTATGTTACGACTCTCGACTGTAACACGTTTTTTAGTTAGTACCTAGTAGATGACTTAGATGTTTTAAGTTTGGGTCGGTTAGTCTGAGCTAGGGTGGAGCTAGTACCCCACCCTGCCCCACCGTGGCTACGTCCATGGCTTTAGGGCATAGACGAGGCAATTGTATGGGATTACTTTGACTCAACTCAACCTCACAAGGCACAGGGCTCTGTAGCGGCCGAAATTAATATCCTGCATCGACCCAAAATCTTTGATTAAAATCGATTGTCGACAATAATTGTACGGCGTTTCTGTCAAAAGTTGATCGACAGATTAGTCCATAAATTTTCCTCTTCGTGATTTATTAGATGCAGTCGTCGATGCAGTTTATAAGGTCAACAATGATTTTATTATAATGTAGTTGAGTTAACTTCTCTGTGAACCATTTTTGGCCAGTATGTTCATTCCTAAATTTTACGACCATGAATACGAATATATTAAAAATTACATCATTCTTCAGAATGTGCAAACATACGCTTTTGTTTTATTATTTTTGTTATCTAGAAATTGATAGAATTAAGTTATATTTTGCACGTGTTCACACTTTTAATGTCATAATCTTTAACTTCCATTGTTGGATGAAACTGATGAAAGGGTTTTAATTTTATAGCCAATTTAAGCACTTATAATGAGTAAGGGTGGTGACGCGACCACGGCGTAGGTATTATAATAATGATGTTATAAAAAATTAAGAATTAAATTGCACTTGATCGGTTTAGTACGACAGTTAGTTTGACAAACTGTGTGTTTCCTTTTTCATTCTAGTCATTACAGTCTTTACAAAATAGCATTTGTTTACATTAAATAAAGTATTCATGTTTTTACTTGATTGAATATTCGGTTTGTAGAAAAATATTCTGTCAAAAACTCAGCGTGATAACTTCATTTTTTAATTCTATTAACGAGTACCTATCCTTGGTAATATTTGTATAATAGGGGTATTTAACACTCGTATAAAGTAAATATAACATTCAAGTTATATCTATTATAAACATTCAATAAATTTTGATATAACTTTCCTGAGACATACCTATAATTAATTATTATGAGTAAGCCGAAAAACATAATAATTAATTCAAAAAATTATGTGTCAGATCAATCACATCACTCAATAATTCGTACGAAGCTGATCTAAAACATGACAACGATAATAAAACTTAGTACGTAAAATAAAAGAACTCCCGTTAGCTATTCGTTGTACTTAGGTTCTGTTCTCTGCTCGTGACACCGGATAAAGTTTATTATCTATGGACACTAAGCACGGCAGCTATTATACTCTGTGCTATCAATGGAGGGTGTTCGGTAAATCAATAAGTCCGCGCAACCCCATAATATTGCGCCTTGCAATTTAAACGGTCACATTCGAACGGAACCAGGAACTACTTTTTGTTTTTTATTATTATATCGTATGAAATTTAAATACATTGAAACATTAACCTTCTTGTATAAAGATTAAGTGAATGTAGGTACCTTATTTAGGTCTGTACTTCGTGTATGTTAAAATTTGTTGGTACCTGTTTCGCAAGTCAATCGAGTCCATGATAAAAAGTAGGTATTTACTGATTTTGAGAAAAATATTTTTTTATAAAATTATGCACGGCCATAAGGTTCTTGTTAACGGTACACTTTATTACAGCGTAGCAAGAGATCTTCGATATCTCTTTCACTTACGTATTTTCCATGTCAGCTCAGTAAAACGATAACCACTGAAGTAATTTCGATTTTGATTAATAACCAGGGTAAAATAGTTTTTCTAATTGGTTTTGTTATGAAAAATAAACGTTACTGAAATTTTATTTAAACTGCCATACCATTTAATTTCATTTACTCCATCTCCTTTGAAGCGTGCGCGTGAGTAACCTAAATATTAGTGAAACATGAGAGTCATTGTGTCCAATCTTTCATTAAAGATCGTAGTCTTAATTAAAACTAAGTGGAAGCTCAATTATCGTGTTAAATTTGGGGCACCCCATGTCTCAAATTCCTACAACTGATGCATGAGATCTGCGAAACTGGTAATAACCGGATTTTGTAGTATGGTCAAGCCGCCGAGCAATTAGAGTCAATCGTGCCGGCTACTCGCCGGACCACCAACAAAAAATTGATTGCTAAAATCGTTTCAGGATGGGATTCATAAAAATGAGCCCAGAACTGGTTCCAAATTTCGTCAGACATGATCATGGTCAATTCAGACTACGTTTACAATCAAAATTTTGTTATAGTATTTGAGCAAGAGAATCTCATAAGACTTGTAACAATACATGATTCTGAATGACGGCATCACCTATACATAACAGCGCTTACCATATCCAATCACAACGTTAGTACATTGTCTCTTAAAGTTCGTTGTCATTTGAGAATAAACTCGAGGAAAAAAGCTGTGAGTTATTTAGCATATGAATGACAAAGAATCCAATGACTAATTCAATACGAATGTGACAATAATGTTCACAATTGAATTATTGGACTGAATCGTCCACGTCGGTCAGTAAATGCTTGACAGTTGATTGTTATTATAAACGAGTATTAAATATGAGCTATTGACCTCATCTGTATTGTGGTAAAAATAGCATCAATGTGCTGAACATAGGTAGTCATATTAATATTATATAATTGGGGTATACGCCTAAACTGCCTCTAATCAACAATTGTAAGTGTGTTCTAAACGTTTGAACGATGATTCTAGTACATGATTTATTTGTAGAAAAATCAAAAATTACCTTTACTCAACTTGATTATTAAAATATAACATGGTTTATCGCATATATATTTTTTGCATAAACCTGTCCAAAAGTGTCAAGCGCAAGTTCTAAGTACTAATTTTATTAATAATTTTATAATAAAGAGGAAGGAAGCGATGCAACACTTTATATTGTAGTTGATATAGTGTTTAATTAACGGAGCTTCTAGAGAGTGCCTTGAGACTTCCATTTATTAGAGAGAAAGATAATTACCTACTTCATTTTCAAAGCGCTTAGTTAGTTAGCTTACCACGGATTTTATTATTCAAAAGCAAATTGTTATTACCTACCTTACGGTAAAACAAACAGAAGCACACACACAACATGATATTGAAGTATACCATCTAAAGCCTCCCTCGAACATATGGACTTTGTTTAATGTGAAGTATTTCGCTCTTTGCATTTTTTCGAGCTTATCTTTTTTTAAACCTCTTTACATAAAAAATAATAACTGCTTTTAAGTTACTT